AAAATAGGAAATTATTTTTTAAAATCACAGAAACAAAAGAAATAAAATATGTATATCATTAGGGAATAATTTGTGTAACTATATGCAAATAAACTTAAAAGCATGAATGAAATGGATATTCTTCTAAAGAAAATACAGTTTGTAGAAACTAAACCTAAAATAGAATATCTGAACAGACTAAGAGAATTCTAATTAGAAAATTGCCAAAGGAATGCACCCCACCCCCGCACCATGTGCCCTGTTCCCCACCCAGAGAAGTACTCAGATGATTGATCAGGAAAATCTCTCCAACCCTCAAGGAACAGCCACAATCACAGGTCACACAGATTACCCGGTCCAACTGGAGAGTTGGCAGTGGTACCACATGGTGTTGTAAAGCTCGAGTTGTCTGTGTGTGTCTGAATGAACCACAGTAACCTCATAGATCCCACAGTCTCCGTCCCGCATAGATGCGCAGCCCCGTCGCATCAGGACTCCTACCCTAGACCATAAGAGCAGAGAAGCTTCTTCATGTCCTTTTAGCTTAAATCTTATAAACTTCTGCCAGCTGCCCATACACCTTCCTTTTCACCGATTCACTAGCTATGCATTAAGGGCTTACCAGGTGCCTAGCACTCTCCATAGTGTAACCGTGAACAACACATACAATGTCAGGAGGGGACTCGTAGAGTTTATATTCTAGTGGGGGAGATAGACAACAAGAATAAAATAGTTTACCAAATGATAAATGTTATGGAGACGAATTAAGCAGACAAAAAGATGCAGACAGATGGTGAAGGGCAAAGTGCAGCCATGTTGGGTGGTCATGGGAGAATTCACTGGTAAGGTAATATCGAGTAGACAGATAAAGGAGGTGAGGGTGATTCTGGATATCTCAGAAAGAGCATTCAAGCAAGTGAGTAAAAGACTTTAGCATGGGGATGAGCCTGGCATGCCTGAAAAACAGCGAAGAAAGGCCAATAGGGCCAGAGCACTGTGGATTAGGGGAAATGTAAGAGGTGAATTTAGAGGTAATGGGGCCAGAGTACCTACAGCCTTGTGGGTGAGTATAAACATTTTGACTTTTATTTTGAAAGAGACTTGAGACCATTAGAAGGTTCTGTGCAAAGGCTAACATTTTAAAGAAACACTCCTGCTGATGCAGAGGACAGTGGGAGAAGTGGGGAGAATGGACAGGAGGCTCCAGCCACAACCCAGGAAAGACATGGTAGTGGTCAGGACCCAAGTGGTTGCAGTGGAAGGGGTGGCAACTGGGTGGATTCTCGTTTTGCCATGAAAATCTTTCCAGAGTTGAAACAACGTTCAAGCACATGCTAGTGGATGGGCATAATGATTGGTTATATCCAGTAGGGCTTTCAGGGTCAGCAAAAGACCTTGGTCAAGAACAGTTGAAACAAAATCAGTATCATCTTTTATCCAGAGCAATAGGAGTGAAGAGCAGAAAGTTACCCTAAGGAAGCCCTAAGTCTTATGAATGGAGATTTAAAATAATGTATTAGTGTTCATGGCCCAAAAATTAATCAAAATTAAACTGGATCAGATTGGTCATTGTGTTTATTGCATGTATTTGAACAATGAAGTTCCTTTTTTTTTTCTGAATTCACATCCATAAACTATTGTGAAATGCATGCCAATTATTTCTAGAATGCAGAACTGCTTAAAGGTCATGAGTATTATTCAGAGTTATTGAGGTCCCAGCGGATAAGAAAGAACAAATAGTTTCCCAGTTATTGGTACTACAAATATGTAGTTCTCTCTAGGTCTGAGGAGAAGAGTGGATTTCAAATCAACATTCATTATTAACTTTAGAAAGAGGACCTGCTGCTTACCAAATCATAGAATGAGGGAAAGAACCTGGCTAAGAAATGATGCAGGCCCCATTAGGACTGGCTCTGCCCTCTTGTTCATCACTGCATGCCTAACACAGTGCGTGGGATACAGCATATGCTCAGTAAACATTCACTTGAGTGAATCAACAACTAGAGAAATGAATGGCCAAATTTTCATTGGCATCATTCTATCCCTTTTTGGAATACATATTGTAAGTGAAGAATAACACATAGTGATTTTATAATGGACCCCTTAGGTCAGCCAGACCTGACTTAACCCCTTGCTTTGTCACTACATGCTATAGAGCTGGCTAGGTTCCTTGAGCTTGTGTCTCGTTTTCTTCATCTATAATATCAAGATAATAATACTGACCGCCAGGGCTTGTTGTGAAGATTAACTAAAATAATGCATGGAAAGAATTTAACACACTCCCACATAGTTACTAGTTCCAGTCATCAACATTAAATGGCATTTAAATTACCAAAAGAAGTTTTATGAAGATAGTATGTTGTAGATAAACTTAAAATATTTTTCCTTTTATTATGAAACAGTTCAAATATATATAAATATATAAAAGTAGAAATTATAATGAATCTCCTTGTACCCAATACCCAGTTTCAATAATTATCAGCTTATGGCTGGCCAGTCACACTCTTTGTGAGTGCTTGGATTATTTTGAAGCAAATCCCAGGCATCATGTCATGTTATCAATAATACTTCAATATGTATTTCCAACAATAATAATAATGATACATCCCATATCACACTTAAAAATAATTAATAATGAGTCCTTAATTAGGTGAATTGTTGGTCTGTGGGAAGCCACAGTGAAAAAGAAGGGAATCGGGTCTATCCAAGGCAGGGGCTTAGGCAAATTCTCTTCCAGACCTGGCATGATGAAGGCACCCTGTCACTATCCAGGTAGACTTTTCCTACTGATGAGTTAGAGGGGGTGAAAGTAGAGGGGGAAGATGGAGAATGAGTTGAAAGTCAGCATTTCATGCTTAAAGCAGAGTAGACCAGACATCTGCTATTTGTAATTTTCTTACTTCCAAAGCAAATGTGTTTTCATTGGAAATAATTCTGTACAAATTCTTCTGCTTCCAAATTGGTGGGATTTTAGAATTTAATTAGAATTTACCTTCTCATCTACCTGAGGCATTGTAGCCGAACTGGCTTTTAGGCAGATTATGATATTACACAACTAAAGAGCTCATGGAGTGGTTATAGGACTGGTTTGGTTTCTGCAATTTAACATAGTGCAAAAGTTCACATGCATCTTTGCAAGAATTCGATTCTTAGTATATTCTGTGCTCTTCTTCTTTCTCCTCTAATTGTCCCTTATTTGTTTTACAAAGTCATTAACCCAGTGCAAACCCTAATTTTATTGCCTGCTGCACTGCTTATTAAACTTTGAATGAAAATAGTTTTCTTTTTTTTTTTCTTAATTGGAATTTGGAGCAATGGAGTTGCTTCAAAACAAGAGCTTTGGTGTCAAAGGTGTTCAAACATAGGTTATCACCCCCCCCCACTTAAAAGCCAACATTAATGTGGGGCACTGGGGTGGCTCCACTGTTTGGGTATCCAACTCCTGATCTCAGCTCAGGTCTTGATCTCAGGGTTGTGAGTTCAAGCTCCACACAATAGCCAAGGTTAATGCAAAGTCTAGAGTTCACTGGGTAACATCAGTAAGTAGATGCTGCTGAAAAGCCTAGAAGACAGGAAGCACCAAGAGGGTGCAAAGAGAGCCTAAGATCTGTTGCATGTTTCTTCTTTGAAAGCGTTGGTTCACTCTGAGCAATGGAAATCCCACCTGGAGGAGATGAGGGGTCTGGTTAAGAAGTCGGACACAGCATGGAGGTGCTGGAAAGCCTGGCGTTATCTTCACAAACCTGTCCATAGTGCTCTGGCAGTTATGTCTACCTCCCTTTTGAAGTAGGCTTTGGAAGGTAGAGACAATGTCTACCTTAACTGCTGCTGCACCCTTTCTGTGAGAATAATCAGCCGCAAATGTTTGTTCAATGTTGTTGAGCGAAGGCGAGAATGAGAACTGCTTAGCAGCCCTCCCTAGTACTTACTACACAGGCTGGTCTACCAAGAACTTAAGAGAGACTACAGAGGCATTTCCTCTTTTGACCTAAAAATCCTCATTCGAAAAAAAAATATTACTTTCTTCTTGTGCTTTCATGTACAATTATAGTGCCTCTACAAACATGTGGTTTAAAAATTGGTAAGAAAAAATGAATATAATGAATCACAGGTGAAGCACAGATGACCTAGTTCGATCAGATTTCAAAGAAGATATGAAAAAGATACGATATGGCTCAAAATGATTGTTCTCCACATTCAACCTTTTAAGGACTCAGTTTGACAGCTCAAAATCTTTCAGATGGCTGGAATGGAGGGTGGAAATGGAAAAGGAAGAGCATTAGTGACTGCGGCCCTGGGCCACCAAGGATTAGCAAGACAGATGGACGAGTAGGGCAGGGAGGCCAGTGGAGAGCCAGGGGGGTGTGGAGGCCATGAGGTAAACACCAAGGAAGTTAGTCAGAGAGAGCTTCCAAGAAGGGAGGAAAAGGAAGAATCAACCAGAAATCCTACCAGCTTGAACCACTGCCAGGAGTCCAGATAGCTGCCACTGGCAAGCAAATTTCTCAGAATCGCTCTGCCAGCTAAGTGTTGGTGGCTGGCAGTGTCTCCGCCTCCCTGGGCTAGATTCCCTGAGGGCCTTACTAGCTGTTTTGTTCCCTCACCTTTTCATGCCTTGCACAATTCCTGCCCTACCCTGCCCTCTGATCTGCCAATCCTCAGTGTTTTGCCCTTTTTTTTTTTTTTAAGATTTTATTTATTCACGAGAGACACACACAGAGAGAGAGAGAGAGGCAAAGACACAGGCAGAAGGAGAAGCAGGCTCCACGCAGGGAGCCCGACGTGGGACTCGATCCTGGGACTCCAGGATCATGCCCCGGCCGAAGGCAGGCGCTAAACCGCTGAGCCACCCAGGGATCCCCGTGTTTTGCCCTTTCAAGGCTAACAAAGTCCCAGTCCCAACAAAAATAAGCTTCTACCTTGAAGTGACTTATGGCAAACATTTTTGAAGGGATTTTTTATACTTTTATAATAAACCTAAAATAAAAAACATTATAGTTGCTTCAGGGAACCATGGTTAAACCCACGAGGGGATGTCCAGCATGAGGATTCTTCAGTTTCCTCTTCTGTCCAGAGCTGTGCTCTCAGTGGAGGGACCACTGGCTGCCTGACAGTCGCACCCCAACCATGATGCCTAAACACTGCTTTCTAGGCTTCCTCTTCAGTCTCTTCCTGACTGCTGTAGTAGGTAAGTGCTTCACTTCTTTTTAATTGCTCATGATTTTGTCATCTGAGTCTGCTCAAGGGGCTGTTGGAAATGGCACCAGTGCTTTTCTGGGCTTTGTCAAATTTTCAGCTTTCTTCTGTTGTGAAATGATCAGAACAGACATGGGGTCAGTTTCCATGTGCAGCCTGCATAACTCCACGTGGACTTCACAAGGAGCTGCTAAAGAGGAGGCGCTCGGGAAACTTCAAGGGAAACTACAGCACAGTAGTTATGAGCAGGCTCCTCGCCTGACTACCTGAGCCTGGATCCCAGATCTGCCATTTACTATCTAGGAAACTTAGGGAAATTGACTTTACCTACCCTGTGCCTTAATTTCCTAGTCTGTAGAATGGGCATTGTAAGTCGCCGTGAGGATTACGAGTTAATATGTACTCAGTGCTTAGAGCAGTGCCTGGCACAGAATGGAGACCATAAACTTCATGTGAGAATTTGCTGTTGGTCTTCACAGAGAACTTTTCAAGAGCAGTGAATATCTTGTCACCCCAAGATACCTCTGATCAAGGCCATTACATTCCCCCAGTGAAAGATAGCTACCTGTCAGCATGACTTAACAAATGTTCCCAAGATTATACAATTGCTCAGAGACTGATAACATGAAAACAATTCAAGCCCTCATCTTTCAAAAATGAGTGGATTTGTGGAGCACCAGGTTGGCTCAGTGGTTGAGCATCTGCCTTCAACTCAGGTCATGATCCCAAGGTCCTAGTATTGATCTCGCATTGGGCTCCCCACGAGGGGCCTGCTTCTCCCTCTGCCTATGTCTCTGCTTCTTTCTCTGTGTCTCTCGTGAACAAATAAATAAAATTTAAAAAAGAAAAGAAAGAAAGAAAGAAAGAAGAAAGAAAGAAAGAAGAAGAAAGAAAGAAAGAAAGAAAGAAAGAAAGAAAGAAAGAAAGAAAGAAAGAAAGAAAGGTGTGGATTTGAGTGGACTATACCTTTGGTCCTTGGCAATAGAAAGGATTTGTTTAGCAAAATATAGCAGGAATTCAAGCACTAACAAAACGATTCTGGCTCTACTTGCTACAGGCCTGGAACTTTGGGCAAGATCCACAATGTTCTGAAGGCTCAGCTTCCCCATGTGTAAAATAAAAATTCCTACCTTATTTGGTGGTCATGAATATGGGATACTGTGTAAAGCTTTCCACACAGTGCCTGATACATGTTTCATGTTCACATATGCTCAGTGATCAGTGAGTGCCAGCCAGAGGAGGCGGAGATGAAAAGGAGGAGAAAGAATATCCTCAGACGCTCATTGCTTTTTTTTCCACGTCTCTCCAGAGGCTTTGTTCTTGGTTTCTGCAGTGGAGGGGTGACAGGCAGGCTCTGGAGTCAGGTGCCTGGTACAAAAATCCGCTTCACCAATTTTGTCTGTCAGAGGGAGACTTCAATAGTACCTTTTTCATAGAAGAGTAGGGCAGATTAAGTGAGTTAACACAGGTACAGGCCCTCAGTGGCTGGTACCCGGTGATCTGCCCTTATTGGTGGTAACAGTGGTGGTGTTACAAAAGTGAGAGAAGAAATCCAGGGACACAAGGATAAAGGACATTGAGCTGACCATCTCTGGCGTGGCACAGGCTCCAGGAAATTGTGTTCATCACGTCCTGAGACTTCTGGAATTTTTCTGTACTGCATAGGACAGATCCGGTAGTGATTTTGGTGAGCAAAATCAATGGTGGCAGTAGACTCTTTCCAAGTACACACCACCATTTGATGCACTGAAGGAGTTCCAAAAAATAAAAATAAAAGCAAACAAAAACCAAACAGCTCCCTTCAATAGAATAAAACAAAGCTTGAATGTTCAGAACTGAGATTGTGAGCTCAGAAGTATGTTCTCGCTTCTCAAAGATTTTTGAGCAAAGGCTTGAAGGTGGTAAAGAAATGAAGCGTGTGGGATTCCAGGGGAGAGCTAGGACCGGTGCAGGGACCCTCGGGTGGGAGCACACCCGGCGTGGCGGAGCAGGAGAAAGGGATGCCACCCTGGAGTCAGGGGGCATGGGGTAGAAGATGAAGTCGGGAAATGATGAGGATATGTTTCCTGATGCCCTCTCCTTCTGCCCAACTTCCTATCCCTGATCAGAAACCCCACACTTGCTGGGAGGCAGAACTTCTTCACCCCTGCCCATCTTAGGCTTTCAGCTGGGACTCATTAACAAAAAGGCAGATTAACAAGAGAAAACAGAATCATTCCGTCACACGTGCCTCACACATCACAAGCGAAGAGTCACTCACATGGTGCTTGGGATTCAGCTTCAACACAGAGCAACATGTTTACAGGGACCCGACGGGCCACTTAGGCCTCCAAGGGTGGCAAACTGTGGTAGTAAGGTCAAGGACCTGACGGGAGGAACTGATGGAGGAAGGTTTGTGTGCAGACTCCTCTGGTGCTGTCCTGGGCTGAGAAGTCTGTCTCCAGTAAAAGGAGAATTAAATCCTGCCTTCAGGCAGGCAAAGGGGAGGATATTGAGAGTTTTCCTGTATGTGTTGCTTCTTCATTGCCTTCAGCTCACAGTATTTTTTCTGTCAAAGAGGCCTATTTTGGAGTGACGTATTCTGGTTTCCTTCAGACTCTAGAATGAAATTTTGTCAACGTCTCTTGCCTCCAGGGGACTGAATGCAGATCAGACTAGGTCACTCACTCACTCAGTGATTAAAGGAAGAAAGCACAAGCCTTGCCGGTACACAATGATCCCCTCTCCTGCCACAATTAGTGTCGAGATTCTTTTCAGAAACACGACAGCGTCTTGGGTGGTCTCCCTTGATAGCGTGGATGGATTCATCTCAGCAATTTTGCTTGAGTTCCTGGAGCCAGGATGCAAGCTGACAAGTGCAGCCAGGACTGGGACTGCAGAGGAATAAAGCCAGGTCTGCTGGGAGAGGTTGGGGACCAACGAGGCAACACCCAGCAGTTGAGCAAGAACCTGAGAAAGGAGAAACCGAGTGCTGTGCTGAGGTCTTAGGACCAAAACTGATCCCAGGCAAAATTTCCCCTCAGTGTAGCAGTAATATAATGGCTCCTAGGAAGGGGGGCAAGTGGCCTTGGTGTGGGCTTTTCATGTTGGTCATTATATTGCATCACCATCTTGGGGGGGACTGAGGACAATATTTTTTCACTGCTACTTACTCCATCTGGAACTCGGGAATGGACTCAGAGAATATCATGTTTTTATAGTCTGGGACACAGTTGTTCTGGAACTTTAGCATGCATAAAAATCCTCACATTCAAGATTCAAAATGTTGACTTCTGGGCTCCAGGTCTCCCAACTGCACTTACAGCAACTGCTTTAGGAAATCCTTATGCAAGGATCACACTGCCAAGTATTGCTAACAACAATGGTGTCAATGTTCAAAGCTTTTCCTTCTCTTTTTATTTTAGAAACTCAGTCAGCCCATGAGTCTCTGAAGCCTCAGAGAGTACATTTCCAGTCTCGAAATTTTCACAACATTTTGCATTGGCAGCCTGGGAGGGCTTGTACCAGCAACGGCAGTGTCTATTTTGTGCAGTATAAAATGTAAGTAATTTGAGCTTCCTCCAGCTGATGGAGATGGCCACTAGAATCAGATGTTCTAGTATGCAGTGGAGTGTAAGGATCTTTTTTTCAGTTTCAGAAGGGTTAAGAAGAAGCAGAGGTAGGAACAGGAGTGTCCTGTCTCCTTGAAGTCTGCCTGGGGACACAAAATGCATGATGAGGTGCAGTCTGTGGGGGAGATACTTCATCCTTCAGAGACCCAGGATCGAGACATTACAGGCTGAGCCTTTGGATTCACAGTGGACCCTGGCACATGGTGGACCTTCTACATATCTATCTAATAAATGTTGGAAGCAAATTGCTTAGCATATAATAGGTACTCAACCAAGTTGATGCGATTGATAGCTGAAGAAGCAGCTGTGTGACATATGGAGATGAGTGTACAAAATGTATTTTAAATTCAAAAGTCATTTTTTAAAACTTAGAAAAAAATTCTTTTCAAAACCAAATACTCCTGTAAGCATGAACTTAAATCTGAGCATGCTATGGCACATTCCTCTCTGTGCTCTTCGGCAGCTTCTGGTGGATTATTGCCAAAACTCAGATATGATCAATTCCTTTCCTAGGTTGAAGCCTGGAAACAGAAGCTCCTGATTTGCAAATGACAGGTTTTCCCACCCATACATTTTTGGAGGTTTACTGAGGCTCCACCTTCTCTTCCATAGTTTGAAATGCTGGCTGAGGGATACTGAGACAGGAGATATTATGGTTTTATATTCACCATTTTTCATTTGAAATTCAGAAAATCAGATGTAGCTGTGGACCAAAATAGCAATTTTTATTCCACAAAGTCAACCGTGTCTCTCTAGCACGGGGTCAAGTTCAGATGTTACCATTAACTTCTTGCTAATGTCACAGAACTAATTCCAGAAGTTTCTCAGTCTTTAACTGCTGCTGCTTGTCTCAACATATTTTATGTAGCAACTGTAAAGTTTATACATCTTTATGATAAAGCTTTCTCCATTCTAAAAATAGATTTGTGCATAGTTGGAGATACTCCATCACATAGAATGCAGGCATTGGGGTTTGTTTGTTTTTTTTATACTTTCCCCTTAGGTAACATAAATAGGGCCTATTTGTGATCCAGTGTTAAAAGTGGATGAGAAGTTGTTTAATGAAGATTAAACTTTAGGGCCCCATGGGAAAACTTTACACTTGTAATTATTTTTCTTAAGGAGGGTTCCCAAATTCATATGAGATTCAGAATACTTGGGTCCATTCTCCTCTATCTATGTGCTCAAGAGCACAGTGCAGATTTATATTTTTGAAATCTTTCACTTTGGTTCTATTCCACTCATGTGGGTCTACTGTTAATATTGGTCCCATTTGAGATAGGACAAAAAATGAAGTATCACATTACAAAGAGAAGCCAGCCACTATAACTAAATTCAGCTAGCAGAGACCATGTCTCAACAACAAATAACAATGAAATAACATCAAATTGTGCTCAATATATGTAATGGTCCTGCTCTGATGATATCCTTTGGTAAAATGCCACTGGTGCCATCATAGAGTTTACAGAGCACGGACACCAGAGATATTCCTCATTATATGGCTAGAAAGCTAGATTTCTAGTCTTTCCACAAATATTTTGGGCAGACGTTCACCCCAGCTTCTAAATTCTACTCTGTTCTCACCATCATCTTATTGCATCCTGTCTGATTTCTAACAGAAAAAGAAGAGAAGCATTAATCTTCCCTTTTGCTGTTACACCATCCCATCTCTTTGGCTGAGTCAACCTATCTGCCTCTTTCCCTCATACCTTTTTTTCATAGGATCCCCTCCCACCCTCCTAGTTCCTGATTAAGTACTCCCTGACGACAACCCCTGCTCAATTTGCGACAAAAAGACTGACCAAATATGTTGGGTAAGCAATACCTGGGATGAAAAGTGGTAGCGACTTCTCAGAATTGGCCACATTACTCAACAGCAGGCTGATGAGAAGTGAAGAAAGCTACAGGGTCAACACCTCAGAAGCATTAATGATGTGGGAAGCTACTGCTCAAAAGTGGAAGTTGGTTCACATACCAGAAGAAACACTTTGCTAAGGATTTAAAACCCCAAAACCCTTTTGTTACTGATACAGAAGGTGTCAGGCTTGGGTTTATCTTTCAGCAAGATAACGCTTTGATTAACAAGAATAAAAATTTTTTTTAAAGATACTTGAGAGTAGCCAGAAGCTTTCACAGAGGTACTGATGCTAGAGGACAAATCTCAATGAATCTAAAAAATTCATAGATTGAAAAAATGGAAGACTCCTTCAATGGGGGAAAAGAAAATAACTCTCAGATCTTTGTCTTTATAGGTATGGACAGAGACAATGGAAAAACAAAGAGGACTGTTGGGGTATTCTAGAATGCTTTTGTGACCTTACCAATGAAACATCAGATATACAGGAACCGTACTATGGGCGGGTGAGGACCACCTCCGCTGGGATCCACTCGGGCTGGACCATGACACAGCGCTTCACTCCATGGTGGGAAAGTGAGTTCCATGGAATTTCTTTGCATTTGCTCTTCCTGCCCCCTGAGTAGTCCCACGGAGCAGGCCCTGTACTTTGCTGAACTCTATGGCATCATCTCGTTTGACCTAATTCTCACAACAATCTTAGAAAATGGCTTTTGTTATCCTTCTTTTGTAGCCCATGAGACCAAGGCACTGAGGCTCCAGTGGTTGGGTGGGTCTCATGGCTTGCACAACCCAAGTCAGGGTTCATATTCTGCTGCATCTGACTGCAGACCCCACACTGTAGCTTGCTGCCAGACTTCTACCACCTAGGAAGAAAAGTAGTTTCAGATAGCAGAAAAGGAGTCCTTTCCTGAGCATGGGAGTTAAGTTCCTGGACATATTCCTCAGAAGGATTTTCTGTTGAGGAAATTAAGACTTTTTATCATCTCCCCAGAGGGGAAGCCAGAAGTTTACTCTTATATCCATTCCTCAGTGACCTACATTCTTTTTCTAAATTAATCATAATCCTAGAATAATCTAAAATGTAAATTATAAAATAAACCATTACCATGTAAAATAGTAGACAAAAGGGAAAAAGAAAAAGAAGTCTTAAATGTATAAATATAAAGATATGCGTAACAAAACAAAGAAAATATGGATATTTACTGCAGTCTTCATAATCACCACTAGTCATGAAGCCATAGTTAATATTTATAACTTCTCTCAGTATTAACTCAACATTTGCTTTCTTTCCAGCTAGTACTTTAGCTCTTCACTCTCGAGGAATTGGGGTCCTTTTGGTCTTTCTTGTATTAGTTTAACATAATCTGACATATCATAGAATATAGAAGCTCTAAGAGGCACCCCAGAGTTACGAAGCATACTTCTACTTGGTCCTGTTGTATATATAGCAACTCTTCTTCCCCTTGATACTCAGAGCCAATTCCCCCGGACAACACAAGGACCTCGTTTTCTCCTTGTTGGTTAAATGGCATGAAGAGCTCCAAACAGTCAGGAGGCAGCTTTGACTTCCAGTTCTTTGAAACTATTGTTATAATCAAGTATGTGGAAAACAAACCATTTCATGAGTCGTTCACCATGTCTAATAGTGAGAATAGAGAGCCCTCCAACTTCCACTTCTTATATCCTAAACCAGTGAATGCTGTCTGTGAAAGAAATAGCACCATATATTGGTCACAAGATTAGAGCATATATCAGTTCATATACAACTTTGACAGATCTTGTCTCTCAAACTGAGTTTTCAAATAGCCACTTTATCTTTTGATAAAGCCTGGAATTTCTAAGTGATGGGCTATATGGGAAGGCCAAATATTCTTGTGGGTACGAGACTGACTTCACCTCTTCCATATTAACTTGGTTCTACTCTCATAAGCAATGTATCATCAAGTATTATGCTCATGAATAAGATAGTCACTACATTCATGTTGAGGTGGTCAGGGGCACTGCTGATAAAAAGCACTGAGGTAGAGAAGACAAATCTATAACAAATCTATAAAAATGTCTATTCCACTGTCTCTTGTCCCCTCATTGTTAGAAGGGATAAAAAATATCTACTATATAAAGTGAACTATCCTAGGGGTGCAGTATTGATCCTCCTTACAGGGAAGTTGGACTCTCAATAGTGTCAGTCCAGCCTTGGCAAAAGGAAATTCATATTGTTGAGTCTATATATAGTCTCCATCCCTTTCATAAAGTCATTTTGTTCATGAGCCTAAGGAGCAAGCATGGGGAAATAGGCTTTCACTGCCTCCACATAAAGTTTTTGAAACAACTTTATTGAGATATAATTGACACCCCTTTCAGTGACCTATATAATGTGAACAATTCAGTGGTTTTTAGTTTATTAAAAGATATTACAACCATCACCTACAATCTGTTTTAGGATATTTTCATCACCTCATAAAGAAACACCATACCCCTTGGCTATCACCTTTATATTCTCTCATTTCTCCAGCGTCTTAGCCCAAGGCAACCACTCATCTACTTTCTGTATCTATAGAGTTCCCTGTTCTTGACATTTCATATGAATGGAATCACATAATGTGTGGTCTTTTGTGACTGGCCACTTTCAGTTAGCATAATGTTTTTAAAGTTTATTCATGTAGCATATATCAGTACCTCACCTCTTTCCGTGGCTGAATAATATTTCAATACGTGAATGTATTTTGTTTATCCATTCTTCAGTTGATGGACATTTAAATTGTTTTTACATTTTGGCTATTATAAATAGTGCTCCTATAAACATTCATATAAACATTTGGTGCTCAAATAAACATTTGGGTAAACAAATGTTTTCATTTCTCTTAGGTATATACGTAGGAGTGAAATCCCTAGGTCTCATGGTAACTCTGTGTTTAGTCATTTGAGGAACTGCCAGACTATTTTCCAAAGCAGCTGCAACAATGTACATTCCCTTCAGCGGTATATGAGGGTTCTGGTTTCTCTACCTCCTTACCTGACTTTTTGATGATAGCTGTCTTCGTCAGTATGAAGTGGTATCTCATGTGGGTTTGATTTGCATTTCCTTGATGATTAATGGTATTGAGTATCTTTTCATGTGTTTATTAGTAGTCCACTTCTGGCCAGTACCATCATGTCATGCAGAACCTTCTGGAAACCAGGCTTCTTTTTTCCCCCCTTATGTTAAGTGGTCATAAGGGATTCTTCCAGATGCCAGCTATAGACGAGGAAGTAATAAGACAGTAGCCTCTCAGTTGCACTGAGAGGATAAACCACCTACTTTCATAAATTAATTTGATGTTTAGACCTGCTAGAGGCTGGACTCCTATAATCCATTTCCACATAATGTTGGCATGTTTTTGTGTATTTTATGACTTTATGTATCAGAGAACACCCAGTTTATGATAGGAAACTCAGGTCACATGGCTCCTTGATATCCCTTAATTCAAATATTCAGTTTTTTTTTTAATCAGGCCTCAGTAACAAGGAAATCTGGAGCTTTTTCTCAAAAGAAAATAAACTATTTTTTAATAGTTATTTTCTAGAGAGGGTATGGACTAAAACGTGGACTTAGAATTTCCACAGTCTCTAAATAGCATCCTGATATGCCACAGATAATTTGAAGATTGTTGGATTTTTTGGATCATAAAAGACAAGTGTCTGAGCTGCTTGTTTGCAACATGAACTAGTTAAGAAGTCTGTCATTTAGTCTGGGTCCTTCTCAAAGCTGAAAATCTTATGGGTTGCTTTGCAAATGGGTAACACAACTAAATGTGGTATGTGTCTTACAAAATACATACAGGCCCAACAAATCTAGTGAATCTTTCTCAGCAGCTGAGGATGCAAAGTGAAGCAACTTTCCTTTCACTTGAGAGGAAATGTCTCAATAAACCTCAGAGGAAATTTAAAATCCAACATTCTGCTTCAGTGTACCTTACTAAAGTATCTACAGTGCCTACAGGACTTTAGGTATACCAAGTTCATTCAGGATCATGTGATAAATTCAGTGGACCAACAAGATATCCTGTGGTACAAAGATTAAAGATTCTGTAGACTATCTGTGACAGATCCAGATGACAATGAAAGCCAAGTGAAAGGAAATTGTTCTGATGCTTTCTAATTATTGGATAAAGGAAGGAAAAAAATTCTCCAGTCAATATCTATAATGATTGGATCCAGAACACAGACACTGTAATTGAATACCAATACCCTATGGTCACCACCTGAGTATATTTACAATTATCCCTTGTATTTATTCAAGATCCATCTTTTTGGGAGAGGAAAGCATACTTCAAATAAATGAGTTAAGTGGAGAAGTGATGCATCTTACTACCCCTGCATTTTTTTTAAGATTTTATTTCTTTAATCATTAGAGACACAGAAAGAGAGCAGCAGAGACACAGGCAGAGGGAGAAGCAAACTCCATGTGGGGAGCCTGATGTGGGACTTGATCCCGGAACTCTAGGATCACACCCTGAGCTGAAGGCAGGTGCTCAACCACTGAACCACCCAGGCATCCCATCCCTGCACTTTGAAAGCTGTTTTTGAAGGACAAATTTTGTTCAAAAGAGAAATTCCATGGATTCCACTTGGCCTTTCATCCCATAATAACTTCCATGTCACAGACCAGGAAACCCGAATGGAAATGAATTCTGTCAGTTGTTGTGTATATTTTATTAAATTTACTTTTATTACCTGACCACTATAAGAATGCACTATAAGAGGCATTCTGAATCCCCAGAGGTTATCATCCGCTCAGAATCAAGGTCCCATTACTGGCCAGAGTCTGTACTTAGCTTTCTCATATTCATAATTACCCTCTGGAGAACGATGAAAGAAATTTTATCATAAAACTGGTAGCATTATTTCTTCACTTGCTTTCCAAATCTCACCCTAGTGATTTAACTAATACAATGCCCAATTAAATCCAAACTAATTAGTTCATTCCCAGAATGCTAGATGCTTTGGAATTTAGAAAAGGCCATCTTTAGTTCTGCAAGTCTTCAGTTAGTAGGAGAGTGGAATGGAGATTGAGCGAAAAATCTATGGCATCCTGCACAGTATTTCGTGAAATAATTTGAGATTCAGCCCAAATACACTCCACCAACAATTCTCTGGTTGAGGAAAAGGAGACTGTATGACTAAGCTGGTATATAGCAGTGAGGGGAATTTGCAGAGTAGTTTAATTACTATATTAAAGCGTAGAAATGGGGTCAAGTTCAAATTTATTCCTCAAACAAAGCTTTCTTGAGTGTGATCCATAGGCTAGTTGGTAAGATTAGCTAAAGACATAGGCTGAGATGAGCTGAAGCTTCAACTCAGTTAGATTTTAATTTAGATGATGTTGCATTAAGAAAGGTTTGAGTTCTTTTCATATGACTGTGCCACGAAGGAAAAAAAAAAAATCCCAGAACTAAGAAAGCCTTCTGCCTGGACCTCTTAAGAAGAATAAGAAAGCAATGTATAACACAGTCAAAACTGGAGCCACTCTTGTTGAAGGGATAGTGAGAGCCCTGGCCCACTTGCCTATTTCCTTAGCTTCAGCTAAGGAAAGC